AATTTATACCAATTTCACAGGTTAAAGAATGCATGTATTGTATATATTTCGTGAATTTCACATAAGTTCCCAGAAGCAGTAATTGCAGCCATAGTGTTAACATAATGCTACTGGCCCATTTCTTTACTCTCTAATGGATTACTTGTTATCAAATTCTACTAATCTTTAATCTGATGCGCATGATGTCGACTAGAAAGATTCAAGACGTGACCACACCACCCATATATGTCGGCTCGCGGACTTGGGGTTAAAAGAGCCATTCCCGTCAATTGGCAAGTTATTAGACTGAGTTAGCAGTCCCACAGAAGGCACAGTATCAGCTCCATTTAAAACATGTACCTGAAATCCTTGGCCTTGCATGGCTGTAGGCCAAGAGTTAATTGTTTTGTCATTAGTGAACGAGGGTTCGGAAATTTGTTGACGACTTTTTAGTTCAGTACGACCTCAAACTTGAGCTAAGGACCTTGGACTCTGATCACGACGAACTCTTTTGCGTAATAAATACGATTACGAACCTTTTGTTAAAGTTTCAGATATTTTAAGCATATATGAGTAAGAAGTGCGAATGAGGTAGCGTACTTCTTGCTCAGTCCAAATGGATGTCATTGGCTGAAGCAATGGTCTTATTTGTAAATACAATTTTTGCCATCGAATATTTGAGACTTTCTTAGTTATTGATCGTAGTAACGTAAGATATTTGCAACAACATTTTTAAGTATATAGTGACGGTATCAATAATTGAGTGCTAAATGAAAAAAAGTGTAACCTATATGTAAAATAACAGAATCCACAATTCACTTAAAATAAACGTTTTTATTGTATAAAAGTAAAGTTATGTTGATCATTAATCAAGCATCGATATTATATAATCAGGCGTCTGCATTTCTGAAAACTGCGTTCCTCCAAGTCGTCTCTATAAGACGCTTCCTGGTCTTGATATCCGTTTTAAAATTCACATCATGACGGCATTCCTATATATTCCGTGTACCCTCATCCCTTTATAAGTTGAGTCGCTACTGGAATATACTTTCAGATTTTAATTTTTCGATTACAAGCGGATTACAGCCTTGGATTTGTAAATATCGTTATCAAGGAAATCTAATTGCCTGCACTGGCGTTTCAATAACGCTGAAAAAGTCAAATGTTTTATTATCAGGATGGAAGAAAGCTAATTATAATATTATAGGTGATTATAATTACTTATAATTATTTATGTTATAGTTAATTATAAAAACTTCCTCTAAATAAAATCCCAATATTCATTAATATAATCATGAATTAACTAATTCAAGACATAAAAAATGCCACAGGTGCATTCATGTAGCCATCTGTTGGCCAATGGTCGTTCAAGCCGGTGATTTCAGACAGAACAATATTTCAATCATTGTCATTTAAGGCTCAGAAAGGTTTATGTCAACCTTAAACCTCTTCTCTTGGTGTTTTTATCCCAGAAACAAATATTACTTTAGCACATCCCATCCGCTACTAAGCTCACCTCTCGTTCCCGCATAACTTACTGCTCCACAAACAAATCGTATGATGGCATCCACAAAGCAAGCTCGGTCTGAGCCCATACGGGTCGTACCTAAACAAATTTACGTTCCTGAGAAATCCCACAGAAAAATTAAGTCAGATAATAGTAAATAATGAATTCCGTTGCAGTAAACATCAAGTTCGCTGCGTGACACATAGCGATTATAGCTCTGCACGTTTCGTATTCGTATGTATAGGACGACCACAACCTGATTAGAATAAAATGGCGACGTTTACAGCTTTGAATAAAGTACCGCTCTTATAAAATCTAAACAAGCTCTTCTATGATGTTATTTATTCGCTAATGAGCTCTGAAAAGCCTATGAAGAATTGCACCTGATTGAAGTTGATCATCTACAACTCGGTACTGCATGATGCACAAAGTCAATGGTGCGAGGCCACTCATGTCCTTCGGTTCACATTGGTAGACATTGCACGGCACATGTACGTATCCATCTTCTTACAATTCCAGTACTTGCGAGTACATGTAACTCACTACTCTACGCGTGTTCAGAATATTGAAATTCTACCCGTCTTGGTCTACTCTCCTATCCTCTGCATACAAGGAACCCAGCTACTTCACGCGCCACAGCCCAGCTACTGCATGCGCCACAGCCCAGCTACTGCATGCGCCGCAGCCCAGCTACTGCATGCGCCACAGCCCAGCTACTGCATGCGCCACAGCCCAGCTACTGCACGCGCCACAGTCCAGCTCTTGCACGGGCGCTACATTTCAGCTACTGCTCGCCACAGTCCAGCTACTGCACGCGCTACAGTCCAGCTCCCATGTGAGCCCTAAAATTCAGATCTGTTGGTTGATGCATGCTAATTTCCGCTCGCAATTTTTCTCTGCCACTAGACGACTCCATTTATTGTTTATGGAACTACAAAACAACTAAATTTAGTAGTGCAATGATCCTTGTGCTCTGATGTACTCGTTTCGATACGAGAAAAAATATAAATTTTGTACATTTTGTCTTTCATTTTCTTTGACATGGTGTTTTTTACGAAGATTATTAAAAATTTATTTATTTCTGACGGTTGAGCGATCTTGCCTTTGGTGTGGCGGTTCATGTCGCGCATCCGTTGCCAGGTGTGTGGGTGCGTGATATTGATCGTGACGAGGTGGTGTTCGTGCGATTGTTTGTGAACCATCATACGATGACGTCATGACCGTGCTAGTGCGCCACACAAACTGGATTCAAATAAGATGATTATTTGCTAGAAACTACTACACTTGCTAGTGATTTCTGTTGAATCGCTATAACGTCTTGCATCTGACGTTTGTCTTGGTCATTCTCTTCATGAGGGCTAAAAATATGAGATTACATACCAAATTATATAGGTGTCAATTGTTCGTATTCGTAGTTACAATTGTTCATTTAAAATCAAACTATGGAACTTCATGCGCTTGCTTTCACAGTTCAATAATTTAAGACTATTAAGTCTAATAGTTTTTAATTTAATTCCAATTGATTTCACGGATGTAGTTCAATAATTCCTCACTACAGACTTAATAAATAAATCTCGCATCTCCACTGCGAAAATTGAATAAGCCTAACATCGGTGTAAACTGTAAACAGATCAGTAATGCAGATTCTTCTCTTACATCAAGTACATTTATGTATTTGTATTGATAGTCGTATCAACTAACAACTATTACCATCTTAGCTAAGTAGTATGGTAAGCTAGGAGACGCGGCCGACTCCGTTATAGGCGACAGTTAGGGTTATGGTAGCAGTGGTGCAGGCTTTGCTCTCATGTGGGTACAGTTCCTGCCACAAAATCTCTCGCATTCTGCCGAAATTTTCCAGACGACTTTTTTTATGCAGGTAACGGTCGTAACAATAGGCCACGCCGGATCTTTCACATCGCAAGCTTATGTCTAGAAAGCTTGATGCATTTCAAAACTAAATCAGTTAAAATTTTTCGAAGTCGGTTTTCAGTATTTTTAATACACAGAAACATTATTCTAATAATTTTTGTGTTGTTGTCGTTTCAACTCTCAACAGTAAATTTCTTTTGAATTACTCAAAGTTTCGTTTCCTGAAACGGCGTTTGTAAATGCGAACGTGTGCCTATAAAATTGTTTCAATCAGAACATCGCGTTAGGAATGGCTTCAAAGTTCCAGCTGGAGCACATCAAATTAACCACGTTGCTAAACTTAGGTTCAAACTGTACTCCTGGTGGGACAAAATGGCAGACTAGTCTGGGATGCTTCGAGCCATGCAACATTCCAGGCGATGGAATGTTGGCTATGCTTTTGTTCCGTCGCTATTCTTGGAGTAGATTACAAGTACAATGTTTGCACCAATACCAGTGAAAATGAATGAACCGAATCAATCCTATTTACTACAGATACAAATATTTTAAATAAACTCTTGAGCCAGCCTCATCACGTTAAGTGCGCATTGTTTAGCTTGCCTCTGTTTTAAAAGTGTTCACGTGCACATTATTGCCTAAAGAAACTAAATATGGGGAAAATTACCAATCTTGAGTGACGGTTCCTGTACTCCATTTCGAATGCAAGTGGATACACTGACGTCACAGAAACGTGGTGAGATGACATGCTGCTGCTGCACACCAATTGTCATCGTTTCTTGGGAGGCGCGAACTCTGTGCAGCTGAATCAGTCGTTGGCAAGAGCGCATGTGCTCCACAAGTGTACGGACAGTACAGTGCTGGTGACGTAGATGACTGCAGCGATCAAACCTGTGCGCGGGAAGAAGATTGTGCACACTGCACAGTAGAGTAGAGAAGAGCCCTCTCTGGGGCTTGGGCTAGTGAGACTGTGCTGTGTGTGTGTGAACTGTGTGAAGTCGTTCATTGTTAGACTACGCCTCGACGAAGAGGGAGTGTGCTCGTGATTCTAGCCGTGTGATGTGACTTAATGTTGCTCTGGGTGCTTTTTACACGCCAAAAAACATCTGGTCTATTCAAGTAATTCGTCGTGCCTATAGTTCCTGCAATCTTATATTTTTTTCAGCAAACTGGCGTATTTGTTTTAGTTGATTCAATGAAACAAACAAGGCCTAGCCAAGCTTTTTTTTATCACCCAACACTCTGTGAGAAACTAAGTTAGCTCGATTAACGTTATTCATGAGGTTTTCTAATCTCGGTGCTATTACATTTTTAATTCTTCGTGTGGTTTTATACTTTGATTCATGTAGATTCGAATAATTCGATGGATAAAGTGAAAAATTACATGAAACGAAGCCAGCATTATTACTATTACTAGCAAATCAGAATAAAAGTTTTATTATTTGAGGCTTAGAATATAGAAACAAGCTAGGTTAGATGTCAGTTGATGAAAGCTTTTAATCCAACGGATACGTTTTGTACCTAACTTTTTTCGGCAACCAGTTGTACTACTGGTACAATGGTGTCTACTGTCTAGCGTTTCTGACTGTCTAGCGTTTCTGTATATGGTTTTTTACTAACAGAATTTTTTCCATCACCAGATACTGAAAAGTGATTTTATAATCATGAATTTGTGTGGTATAATGTCAATGAGCCTCTTTGGCTTGCTTATATTGGTGTTGGGAGTTGTTTTCCCACAAATATTTCCCGGCATAATGAAAAAACAGTTGGAGAAAAAACTTGTGCTGAGTGAGGACAGCGAGACCATCGGTAACTTCATTTCTCCTCCTGTGCCCATATTCATGCAGTTCTATATCTTCAACGTGACTAACGCTCCAGCAGTGCTCGAAGGAGAAAAGGCTGTACTTGACCAGATCGGACCTTTCACGTACGAAGAAAAGAGAATGAAATTCGATCTTTTCTGGGAGCTGGAAGACAAAACAGTGGAATATCAACAAAATAAGACGTTCTTCTTCCGTGCTGACATGTCCAATGGCCTCACTGAAGACACTCTTCTTACTGTGGTCAACCCAGTCTTGATATCGCTTGGAGCAAAGTTCAGCAGACTGCCCTCATTGACACACGGTATTCTTCAGCTACTTGCTCTTCGACACGACATGAGTCCTTTCATAACGCGAAAAGCTGGCCATCTTCTTTACCACGGATATGATGAGCCACTATTGGAGCAGCTCTCTCCATTGACTCGTAATCCTATTCATGCAATGGGAAAATTCGGTTTCTTTTTCCCCAAGAATCACAGCAGTGATGGCATTTACAGAATTCACACCGGTGCTCAGGGCCTTAATACTCTCCAGGTTATCGACGAGTTCCAAGAGGAGCCGATGTTGCCATATTGGCTCACTGACGTTTGTAACATGATCAATGGAACGGAAGGATCACAATTTCCTCAGCCGATCACTGAAGACAAAAAGTTGATGATGTACTCTTCCGATTTGTGCCGCTCTCTATACTTCAAGTTCGAAAAGAAAATTAATCACGGTGACTTGGTTTTAAACCGCTACACCCTCCCTTATGAAGTTTTGGCAAAAAGTCCAGAGAACGACTGCTTCTGTTCTGACGATTTCACATGTAGGGACTCGATGGTGAATTTGTCGCCGTGCAAAGACGGATCTCCGGTGGTCGCTTCTACCCCGCACTTCTACATGGGCACAGAAGAAACAATTAACGATGTAGTAGGTCTCAACCCCGTGAAGGAAGAGCATGAAACTTACCTTGACATTGAACCCAACACCGGGGTGACGTTCAGAGCGCACAAACGCCTTCAGATCAACATGCCGCTGAAAAGATATGAAGCTTTGCCTGACTTGCAAAAAGTGCGTGAAGTTATACTGCCCATCATGTGGCTGAACGAGAGTGCCGTGGTGCCCGTAGAAAGAGCCGACGCACTGAACGCAAAACTAACCGTTCCACTGATCGTGGTCCGCTACGTTTGCATCGCTATGGTGGCCATGGGGGTCATTATTTTGCTCTTGGCCTTGGCCTTCATTGTAAAGATGTGCAAGGCTCCCAAGAATGAGAAAGAGAAAGTTAATGAAAAGCTAAAAAAAGAAGCAATCAATGACTACGACCGAAGTGAGGTATACAAGCACTTATTCACTAAAGCTTGAATAATTTGATCTTGGTTCGTTTCGTTTTTTCATAATTAAAGGTAGTTGGCAGATGTAATGTTCGCATTATTCTTAGGCAACTATTATTTGCCAATAGCAATGGGAATTGGGATATTTCAAATTGTTATGATTGAGTTGTTGGCAATTTATTACGCCATTGAATGTATCGGAAATTTATCCACTTTTAGTTTTGTTCTGTTACTGTTGATGGTTTGAACCTGTTAATAATATATGTACAGTAGTACGTGTGTATATGTCCAATTGCTTGCGCCTTCATAATTCAATCGTCTTTTCTAGACATGATGCTCATTTAAGGCTATGAAAACGTTAAATATCTGTAAGTATAAAGTTGTAGGTCGAGATGCATTGCAAAACCGCTCGATATTTTTTTTTTTCATTTTTAACGACCATCGAACTTCTGGAGAAAAGGGAATCATTTTCCATTCAGACCGTCATTTAAAATTCGACAGCAATATGGGTATTTTGCCTCAAAATATGATATCCAGGATGGAAGGAAGCCTCAAATGCAATTATCCGCTTTATCCGTTCCCTTGAACTAAGTCAGCGAACTAACTTGAGTCAGCGACTAACTCGGTCAAGACCATCGCAAGCTGATCCATAAAAAGTAGTTGGATCGCAGGCTCCCGTCGCGCGCTTCCTTATCCTGAGGTGGACAATAATTGTACTGGACATGCAGTAACTGCATCTTGACGCTTCCGTTGACTGACGACACTCGGTCCCTAAAAAGTTGTTCAGGAAGTTGATTACCTTCTGTTTTTCTGTTTTACATAGGGGTATTCCGCTATAGAGGTTTGCTGTTCGTTAGAGATTATTTATCTTTAATTTTCGCTTGACGAGCGATTTACCGAATCATAATGAAGTCATTCCCGTAGTTGTACGGATAGTAGGTTGCGATACAGGATCTCCAGGCATTATTATATTATTTCCGTTCATTATAAGCTAATATTGAAGAGCCGTTATCAAAACCGGCTGAACAAATGACGTAACTTACTTAGTTTAGCATGCCTGTAGTGAATGAGATATTCGTCTGATCAATGGTGTGCGTCATATTCGATTATCTCGAAAAAACGCATGGAAAATTTTTCAGTGTCTAGTAGCACTTGTGAAAGCATTTATTTAGAAGAAGCGTTTCTGGTACGCGTTTCTAGATGATTTTAAATTAATATACAAGTTTACTGCAGTTCGTAATCCCTGTCACTTGAAACTAAATATGGGATCCAATAAACACACTCCGTTTATATTTATTTCCCTCGTAACTTCCTACGTTTCTAAAATTTATTTGAGCGGACAATATTCCTGAGCTGGCTTTAGCGCTGATGTTATAAGAATTATGTGGTGTAGGTATGATATTTAGATTTATGTATCAATCTAAACGATTGATGTATAACCCTACGTCTCTGAAGATTGATGTATATAAAACCCTACGTATGGTTATTTTTGTCAGAAGCTTGTTAAACTCAATGTATTTGTAACTTATTTGCGCTATGAAATAACTCACTTATCAAGTGTTCCAAACGATTCCAAACGATATGGAACAAGTGTTCCATATTATACATTTTTGTTAAAACGATGATTGCTGTGCTAAACTGCTGTAAACTAGTGAACATCAAATGCTCTGAGTTGTTTAAATTGTCATGTTCTCGACAAATAATATAGTACAGAGTATAGGCATACAAAGAAATGTACTGCAATAATTGTTTGCCATTCAAGGACGTGCAGTGCCGAATTTCCTTGTTCCGCATATGTGCTTGGATTACCGTCTTATTGTAGAGATGTCATTCCGTTGGCTTCGGACTTTTTTAGGTGATCCACACACATCAGAAATTTCGTCTTACGGAGATTGACTTGTACATGAGCTCACTTTGAAGTTGGCTCTGTCGTCAAATATCTTCCTCATGAGAAGCGATTGGCCGATTCGTTTACGTCAAGGAGCATTTTAGCGCATTTTCTCATTTATGGAAAAAATGCACTATTGTGCTCGCCATGTCCGTCTGTCTGTCTGTCTGTCTGTCTGTCTGTCTGTCTGTCTGTCCGTCCGTCCGTCCGTGACCTCAAGTTTTCGTCGACGAGAAAATGCGCTCTCTGTCACTCACTGCAGTGAGTACTGAGTTATATTTTTTGTCATTGTGTATTTCCGGTCTTCTGTATTTTGATTTAATCTAGGAAATGTATTTTTTTACGTGTGTCGCTTGTTTAATTTTGAATGACTATCGAAAATTTCATATATTTTATAATCGATGTGGGGTTTCCAAATCATCTAATAATTATTTTTCTGCATTTTGTAATTATATGTATTTCATTTGATTTATCAATCTCGAAAGTTCATGGGCTTGATAAAACATAGCCACTCAATATTTGAACGGCTTGTTTTTATTGCATTCTCTGTCCAGATTGATGGTAGACTTTATGAATACTGTTATATTGTTTCAACTTAATTTATTTGCTCAATGGAATTTGTATATCAATGATTTAATTCGTTCTTCAGTTGATAATGTAATACGAGTTTTTTGAAAGTAAAGCTAAATGAGATAAGTGTTTGTGTGCTTTACTTGTTACGAAATCGAAGTCGTTATCTGACACTTCAGTAGAATTTGAACGTTTTTGCATTCTTGTCATCAACCCTTGGTACTTGGTTCTATTTTAGTCCTTGTAAATTTACAATGAAAACTCATCCGTTTTACCAGGTTTCTAATGGAGTTTTTCGAGAATTACGTCGATTGTCGTCTTGTCTCCGCTGAAAAAATTCTTCGTATTTTTGCCTTTTATGACTGATGACTATTGACCTTCGCAAAAATTATTTCAGCATTTTCATTAACATTGTTTGTTTGTATTTTATCGTTGGATTACGGAAACTTTTCTTGGTGTTGACTGATTCTTGAAACTAGTATCAGTTCGATATTGGCATTGAAATGTTTGTAATGGCCTTTCTAATAGTGTGTTGCGATTATTACGTATATTATTTTTCTTTTACCACGACTAATTAAATCGTTCAGGTAGAATTCTCTTTAAGTAGAAAATGCAACGTGCAAGTTACATAACACACCTTCATACAGTTTTTTCGTCAAACAAGAATAAATCGTCCCTTGTTTAAATAATGATGTTTGACTTGAGTTAACCAAATGTCTTCACCCCGATTATTTAGTTTTGCCTAAAATATTTTTTTACGCAAATGTAATGGATAGCAAACGGAAAGGGATGCCAACTTTATTCATTTTGATTTAGTGATCATAACTGGAAGATATGTGCGAATTTTTGCTTGGAAATTAAATCGAAATCGTTGGCCGATCTTTCTGCGGGCCGCGATTTTCATCCACCTCTCGATCGATTGCCGTTCTAGTGTCAACATTTCTTGTGCAAAGAGTAGAACAATGAGTTTTTGTGTTCATCGTGAGTATTGTTGCTGATATCGTATTGTCACATAAAGCACATTACTTCACTAACGTTGCATCGTCACTTGATTGTCTGGAGCTTCTCGTCGGTCATGTTCCTAGACATTTCTGTACTGAAGTTTACCATACACTATTTAGCCAATCATCAGTGAATAATAGTGAATTGTTGTTTATAGATCTCGATAGAAATTGTTGAGCCATGCTGATTCCTTGTGCGTTGTTGTTTTTTTTGCTTTAATTCTTGCCTTACGTGTTGTAAATACTAGTTTATCATGTTTTTTACTTGGATGGTAATTTTATTTTTTTGTATTCTGCTGATTTTGAACTACACCCGATAAATGTTCCTAGGGCCATGTAATTAGAGATTGCATAGAGCCTGGAAAACGAGTTGAATGAATCGAGTACTGCGATTAGTTGATACTTTAGTCTTTCGTATACAATATATACTTGATTGTTTCTGCAGGTCAGAAGAGGTTTATGAAATGTCGAGTTATTTATTTGAATCAACAGTTAGTAACGTCGTTTTCTTTGCATTCGGTGAAAGCACAACAATTATGTTGGCTTTAATTACAGGAAACTTGCTGCGTTCGCTATTAACACAGGTCCAGTCAAACGCTCAAGTGAACGCTGTAAATACGAATAAGTGTATAAATATTCATTAAATGCATGTACCTCCAGGCGACCCAAGAATCTCTCCCCTGTATGTTAGATAGAGTTAGAATCTTGGTTTCAAACGGCATAATTGGATGTACTAGTTGTTTAACTTGGGCACAACTATCCATTGCCAGAAACCTGCTAGGTTAGTTACTGAGAAATTACGTAGTGATATATTTTTTGAGACCCCTATATGGGATTACTGGTACGAACAAAATGAAATTGGTGTGAAAAATTTGATAAACTCGAGTGAAATGTTAGAAATATGTAATGCAGGCTCGTCATTAATTTTAGGAAGGAAATAAGAATAGAACCTTGTTGAATCATTCCTAGTCATCGCAAAGACAATTTAGTGTGAACTTTTTTGTAGCATTATTGTATTTCTTGCAGCATTTTACTATCGAACATTTCTACTGTGTAAAGGAAATTCTAAAATTAAACGGTTCTTCATCAGTTAGCGAAAAAATTAATCCTTTACATTTTGTGATTCCCTGAATTACATATCAATGAGATAAATGAATTTGTTGCATCTTCTTTCACATCTCCTTCACTAGCTCCACTGCTCAGAAGCGCCTTCCGAGGATGAGCGGCGGTTTTTGGGATTTTCAAAGAATGTCATAAGTTTACCGTGCATGCCCGTCGAGCAAAAATTATGTATAATTCACAAACCAATCAGAGATCATGCGACCAAAATCTGTCCCTGGATTTTTTATAACACTCAGGTGTGAGTTGACGACCGGACGATGAGAAGGGAACCTTGATCCCTTCCTGCACCTGCTTCAATGTTTGAGATCAAACAGAGGGTCTTGCCACCGAGTACATAAGAGATCTGCAGGTCTAGGCCGAGTCTCTGCCAGGACTAAGTTCCCTATCAGTATCATCACACTTTGTCTAGAGATTTGCTTCTGCATCGACTGCATATAACTTCCGTTTCTCCACGGGGTTCGAACGGCCAAGGGTCATATGCCCTATTCAATTCTTTTGGAATTCGAATCTCAAATAGGAAATTAGCTTAACCAATTTTAAACTGAGCGTTTAGATGCACCTGATGCTTTAAAGTTCTGTAAATAGAATGCGTGTCTTGACAGGGGGTTATTTTCATGTTGAGATTCCATGCATTCAATCGAGTTATTTCATTAACCTAAGACATGGCAATTACTAGTTATATGTATCTTAAATATATCATGATGACGTGCCTTGCAGTGTAACAAGAGAAGTGCTCTGTGTGCTCATTATTTGTGTAGTTATGATGATAGTGTGACCTGCGGTTTATGTAACTAAAGTCAGCTGTCATGTGTGCTAATTCTTGTAAAAATGATAAGTTATGACTATGTAAAGTGTATAAAGTAATATTTTGAGTCACTCTCTTGTAAGCTATGTAAAATTTTGGGAATAATAAATTGATATGAAATGAAAAAGTGTTTGTATTTCGTTACCACCGGATTTCATAAAGATTCTTGTCATGATCTGGGTCGACGAACATTTGCTTATTTATCGTTATTGGTAAATGTAACTAAATTTTTGGCATATAAATAACGCCGCTGTTCCTAAAAATCGTGAATAATGTAGAATGATTAATCAGAAATGAACACTCGCTCGCATTATAAGACACTCCTATGTTTTTTCACTGGCAAATAACTTTACCTTGAATAAGCCTGTATTTCGCTTACGAGCAGACTGACATTCGAAACGATGACCAAGTCAGTCTTGGCTGTACACTGAGATTTATTGCTAGTGCTGATAGTCATCCTAGCTAGTCGTTGAGGCTAATCGTATAAAAATAAAATTTTGTGTATTATACACATAATAATATTGATGATATTTGTGGTTGATAGAAGTTTGTCAATTATTAGGACCAAAAATAAAATATGCCTGTGTGAAAGTGACCGAACTATTGCGAATTCAACATGACCCAGCACTGAACACATTCTTCATGATTTAAGTACTGCATAAATTAAGCGATTAGAGCAAGCCTTCGGTTTCACGTCTCCTTGAATTTACCAGCAGTTAAATTTAGCATTGCTCGGGATAGGTAATTCATTTGTAGAATTCCGCCATCCCGTCGTCCAGAATCCCCAATCATGTCATAATGGTCCAGTTAATGGTTTCGAAACTGAAACACTTGCATAAATTCCCAAAGCAACCTGCATTAATCACAAAACCCCCTCGTTAAGCAAAGAACACCCATCCAACTACCAGTTCCAGATTCGAAGGTACTTCATTTTATTTTTATTTTTTGTAATAAACTTACATAGCAATACACGTATCAAATTAGAAATAATCCATACATTTTCATTTTTTTCGTTTTGCAATGTCTCTTGATTTTGTAATGCCTCTTGATGTACATCTAAATTTAGGCGCTGATATTATGGCTGCGCTCTCCAAAGTCCACATTGTAGCTTTATTTTCCTTTTCATTTTATTTGGACATGTTGA